GGAAATCGGGTGGTCCATCGGTGGTTCTTTGTTAAATTTTTGGAAGCAATCTTCAAAATCCCTAAATCAAAACTGAGTGGTGGTGTTTGGAGAATGGCGAGAGAGAGAGAGAGGTGGTGTTATTTTATTTTTATTTTTAATTTATTTTTTAATTAAAATAGTAATAAAAAATTAAAAATAAATAAAAAAGAATTATCAAAGGGCATATTCGTCATTTCATGTTGGGTCTGGACCAAAAGCACATAACAATTCCAACTATAAGGACCAAAACCACATAAGGTATTCGAAATTGGACCACTGATGCACCACCAAACATTTTTAGACCAAAACTGCAGAATTTTGACAACTACAGGGACCATTTTTGCAATTTTGTCTTTCATATTTGATTAAGAAAAAGCAAACAATTTTTTTTTCCAAAAGAGGGCATTAACCATTTGCAAAATTAGGATATTTTATATTTACTTGGCAAAAATAGGGCGGTGACACCAATAAGATTCTTATGTTTTACGCTTTGAACCCTTTAAAATTTCAGTCTGCACACTTTCATATCTATTTGAAGATGCATTACAATTACGTCTTTTTTAATTTTAAAATATATACTAACAATATGTTAAAGTTCAGATATGATAGGGTAATAAGTGTTTTTATTTTTATTTTTATAATAGATATGTGTTTAGGTTTTTAATTGTTGAATTGATGTTAAAACATTTGTTACACTGCTGTGTAAACGTTTCGGATATTATAAAGGGATAATGACTTAAAAGAGTAATATATTTTTCGATTTGTACACATTTGGTCACTGAGTTTTTTTTCGTCCATATTTACCCCTTCAACTTGTTAAACTGTACACATTCAGTCATTATGACCGGTTACTCCAGGTTAGTCGGGAAAAATAACTTAATAGGGTAATATATTTCTCATTTTGTACACATTTAGTCCTTAATATTTTTGTACACATTTAGTTCTTAATATTTTTTGTTTCAAAATAAGTCATTTTTGTTTTTGTACACATTCAGTACTTATGAATTTTTTCTTTAGGTTTTTCTCACGACATCTTACTGGGACAATCATTGATGAAGTGTGTGGGGCTGTTGATGTTTATGTGTAATGTCTCATTTTCACAACCAAAATTTTTTATTTTTTAAATAAGGCAAAACTCCCTAATTATAAATCCATTATTAAGAAAAAACGTTTATTCCAAAATACATTTATCGAAAATCAGAGTAATATAAGAAACGCGAAATCCTCAATATTGTTGATAAGTGTGTACAGTCATGCATTCGCCTTCCCACGACCAACGATAGCACTTGCAAACATAAACAACCGTGTAAGCACAAAGTTTAGTGAGTTTCCCCCAAAATACCCGATACAACAAACGTATTATCATGCATAACGGACCCACACTCATCAGATTGGAATACCTTGGCCAAATCAGTCATCATACTAGAATGCCAACATGCAACATGTCCAATCAGTCATCTGACTGGAATACCTGAGGTTTGTTGGCATGCCGTCTTAACCCAACCGCTCTTCTCGAGTCTCCGTGCCTACAGCTTATAGCCGGCCAGCACCAGGTATCTTGGCGTAAAACATATAGTAGGACCACCTCAACATATCCCACCACCATATGACTATCCCATATAGATGTCGTGAGAAAAACATAAAGAAATCATTCATAAGTACTGAATGAATACAAAAACAAAAATACTTATTTTGCAACAAAAAAATCTTAAGGACTAAATGTGTACAAAAATATTAAGGACTAAATGTGTACAAAGTGAGAAATATATTACCCTATTAAGTAAACTTTTACCGGCTAACCTGGAGTAGCCGGTCATAAGGACTAAATGTGTACAGTTTAACAAGTTGAAAGGGTAAATGTGAACGAAAAAAAAAAACTCAGTGGCTAAATGTGTACAAATCGAAAAATATATTACCCTTTTAAGTCATTATCTCTATTATAAACATATCAATTTTTCTTAGAGTAAATTATGCAAATGGTCCCTATGGTTTAGGGTAATTTGTATATTTGGTCCCTAACTTATTTTTTTAACTCGGAAGGTACATATTGTTTGTTTTTGTTACGTGCTTGGTTCCTGTTTTACCTAAAAAAGACCATTTTGCCTTTAATTTTGTAATTTATTTAAATAAACACACCCCCAACCCCACCCCCTTCACCTTACCTTACCCACCCCATAAATTTTCCCTATTTAAATAATAGTCTTTTTAGGTAAGACAATGACCAAACGCGTAACAAAAACAAATAGTAGGGACCAAACGCATAACAAAAACAAACAGTAGGGACATTCCAAGTTAAAAAAATAAGTTAGGGACCAAGCATGCAAATTACCCCAAACCATAAGGACCATTCGTTTAATTTATACCCTTTAAATGAATTTCACGCATCAAAAATCACTTTAGGTGGATTGACATTCAGAGACCTTGCAATCTAATAAAATATATTATTATTTTACCATTATAATTTTTATGATTATTATAATCCGACAAAGTTAACTAAAAGAAGTAGTCAACGCTACAACATATTACAATTCAAGCCGTTACTTATTCCATCATATCCATTAACTTTATCAATTCAATATCTATATTTAAAAAAAAAAACAAAAACAAAAACAAAAACAAAACGAAAAACAACAACAGAACAAAAAAGAAAAAGAAAACAAAAAACAAAAAACGAAAAAAAATTAATACAATATACATTAACTTTATCACTTAAATATCTATATTTACAAAATCACAATCCAATCCATTACTTAATCCATCATATCCATTAACTTTATCACTTCAATATCTATATTTACAAAAAAAATAAAAATAAATACAATATCCAGTTTATAATCAAACAAAAAACACATCAAACAACTTCTTCTTTATATGTTAAAAAAAACAGTGATGACAAATGAAATACGTAAACCATTGTTTGAGGTTCAACGACAATACTTATACATTTTATAGCAATAATCCGTAACTAATTCATTTGTTGTCACTTTTTTGCTGTTTTGAATGTTGATTTGGAACAGAAAGAAAAAATGATATATATATATATATATATATATACACACATACATACACACATACACTACAATTGTTTAAAATAAAATGTTATAATACAAAACAAAAACAAAAAACATAAGACGGTAAATCTACTAAGTTGTAATATAATAACTTAATTATTTAAAGACCAATGCTATAATAATAAAAAGTAGGTTTTTTTAGTGTAA